TGATCGTAGTTGTGTAGGAGTAGGCTGGGCGCTGAGCGCCAAGTAGGAGTGTGAAGGGACTGGACTCTTGTGTTGTGGCGGAGCGAGAAGCTCTCCTTGACATTAGTTTTCAGTACTACGAACCTCCATTGGTGTATTATTGGTGCAATGCTGCTCTCTGGAATTTGTCATCTCGCTGTTGCTTATTTTCCTTGCACCGGTCTGGTCAGGAGCTTAACAATGCACTTAACTTGTAGGGCTTTTGTTTCTTGCTTGGGATTGATAATTAATGCCAAGTCCTCCTCACACTGGTTTCCTTGTGATATAATGCCACACCATCTTTGGTATCAAGTTCTCTTTGTTGGGGTTACCCGACCACAGGTAGGCTCTTGCTTTGTGATTAAGGTCCTTTATTATGGTCAGGCACTGTCTAGAGTGAGGCTATATACCACATCATTGAGAAAAAAGAAGCGTTGAAAATCAGAGTTATCATTGTTAGATAACCACCACCTAATTGTTTTCTTCCTGTTGATCTTCGTTTCTGATGCCAATCTGAAAGCTTCTATCGCCCTCACTAACATGCTGAATGAGGACATCGAGGTCATCTGCAAACATTATTACTGTCGGAAACTGCAGGTGATGGGGTGTACCAACATTGAGCTCTGGTAGTTTATGGATCGAGGAGTCTTCAGGTATGAATGAGGTTATTGCCTCGATCACAAAGAGAAAGATTGGAGAAGCTAGTGGATCCCCCTGTCGGACTGAGAGTGAAATTGGATACCAGTCGGATAGCAAGCCGTTGACCTGAACACAACCTATCGCGTCATTATACAGGATTCAAACCCATTTCCTAGAGTTTGGGCCAACCCCATATTTTCCATGCTCGCGTTGAGAAAGGCCCAGTTGACCTGATCATAGGCCTTCTCGAGGTCGAAGAAGAGGATTGCAGTGTTTAATGAACTTTAATCCGCTTTTCTCCTACTTTTTTGGCGGCTTCCTTGAGAGTTAATATGCCGTCGAGAATATACCTACTTGGGATAAAAGTTCATCAAACCTGTTTGGTCCATATGAAAGCATTTGTCAGTGAGGTCTAGGATTTGGAAGGCCAAGGATTTGGCTAGGATCTTGTAGGGGAGGGTGAGTAGAGAGATAGGCCTATAATTCCTGATATCTTCTTTGTCCCCTTTCCTCTATAGTAGTGTGACCACGCTACTGCTCATCAAGTTCCCTAAGCCACCCTTGAGCCAACTGTCATTACAAAAGTTCAGAAGGTTGCCCCGTAAGAGTGGCCACACCTTTTCCCAAAACTCTTTTGTCAGCCCGTCAAAACTCGGTGACTTATTGTTCATACTCCAATGTGATGGGTTGTCAAGAGCCTCTGCTTGTTCCTGTGAAATTGTTTTTTCCAAATACTGCAGCATCCTGGTCAGGGCTTCTCTAACACTTGGTGGGATGGGCGTAGGAGTCTTAATTTGGTATAGTTCTTCGTACAACTCCTCAGCTATGTTCAACATTCCTTCAGTGTCTGTTTTGTTTCTGGTGTGCCTGAAAGAGTTCTCAGACCTTCTACCGAGTTGACCCTTGAGTTCGCTTTTATATGCGCAAAGAAATGTTTGGAGAACTTTTATATTTATTCATTCTGGCTCTTATTTGTAGACCGTTTAGCTCCCACCAGTCTGGCTCTTATTTGTAGACCCTTTAGCGATTCTGATAGGGGTGGGTGCTCTTATCACCATCCCTATCAGAGGCAAAGGGTGTTGCCTTTAAAAAGAAGAAAAAGAACCGGTGACCTCGGCTATAGCAGCCAGATGCCTTAACCACTGCAACAGTGACCCAGTGTTCAAAACTGACGCCATACCGGCCGTGGCATTCAGCCCACCCCAGCACCATTGCAGAAAGGACTTACTCGTCAACATGCGAGATCCATGAGCTCCTCCGCAGGCAGCAGCATCCACGCAGAATCCAATACCCTCCGCAGTTGCCAGCATCCACCCATACACCAGAATCCAGGTGAGCCTCCCCTGGCTGGTTAATGGGCTCGTACACTGCCAGTAAGTTTATCATTGTACCCCAGTGATCTTTCCGCAGCCTAACGGAATCGAACCGGTGACCTCACCTATAGCAGCCCGATGCCTTTGGCACTGCAACGGGGACCCGGTGTTCAAAACCGAAGCCATACCGGTCGTGGCATTCAGTCCACCCGAGCACCGTCGCAGCAAGGACTTACTCGCCAACAAGCGATCCATGCGATCCTCTGCAGGCAGCAGCATCCGTGCAGAATTCAAGATCCTCCGCAGTTGCCAGCATCCACCCATACACCAGAATCCAGGTGAGTCTCTCCTGGCTGGTTAATGGGCTCGTACACTGTCAGTAGTTTATCAATGTAGCCCAGTGATTGTTCCGCAGCCAGATGGAATCGAGTCCGTGACCTCGGCTATAGCAGCCAGATGCCTTTACCACTGCAACAGTCACCCAGTGCCCAAATGCCGCAGCCAGATGGAATCGAGCCGGTGACCTTGGCTATAGCAGCCAGATGCCTTTACCACTGCAACAGTCACCCAGTGCCCAAATGTTTCTTTTTTTCCTTTCATGTAGTTTGATGCCGAGCCTCCGCGGGACATCGGAGAAGGCTCTTTTCCCATTTTCCCCAAAAAAGTGAGAAAGGTAGTGGTGGTTTGATAATAATAATAATTAAAAAAAATAAAACAAATATCCCTCCCTGCAACACCTATGGCAGACAACGGCCGCCATTCAGAATCCGCACCTCCGCTCTCTTCAGTGGCTGATACTTCATCTAGCGTTATCGGTCAACGAATGGTTGAGTCGACGCCACAGCAGGCGCCACACAGCAGCATCTAGTGAACTTTGTTCTCTATGTGCAGCGGGCCAAACAGAGGATGTGAGCCACTGCCTGCTTTCCTACCCCAATGGAGCAACCTTTTGGGCAGAGGTAGCCGCATTCTGCGTGTTGGTCACTGGGAAGGCGGTCCCTGCTGGGACCACCCCTAGACTGACCGGCGTGGGGCTCCCCGTGGACCTCTCGAGCTGGAAATGCAAACTGTTCCAGCGCCTGCGGCTGCATGCGCTATGGCTCATCTGGCGGAGGCAATGCCAGAACGCGATACCAGAACACGATACCCTAGACCCACCACCGAACCCCCCTTACGTGGGCCAGCTTCCAACAGGACGTGGAACTAGAATATCTTGCTGACGGGACCCAGGTACGGCGCAAAATCAGAGACCACCCCAGCAAGGAAATCACCCTCAGGGGCGAGTTCCTCCTACACACACTCAGTGCCGGCAGAATTGCGACAATAACAGGGAGGCATCTCGTTTTCACATGGCCCCGCAGTGCCCCCCAAACCCTACCACAGCAACCCTTCCCGCCCCCTCACATCCCGCAACCCCCCCCGTCACCTGACCCCTTAACATCCCTTCCGCTTGTCTCCCCGTGAAGAGCAGTGCCTGCCTGGGCTGGGAACGGCACGATTGGATCACTGAAGCGTCAGGACACGTTCATGGTAATGGGAGCGGCACATTGCAGGAAACATTGAGAGAGGGGACATCAACAAGAGCAGGAGGCGGACCATGAACTAGGAGCTCGAGATGGCTAGACTCTGGCAACCTGCCCCTGGAGTCTTCCGGGGAAATCAGGGTATCCTGATGCTGAGCCACACGGCGCAGTTATGACCCCAAGGTCTCTCGGGGAAGCCACAGTCTTCTGGCCTCTGACCACTTGGGCATCAGAGCCGGGTCCAGTCACACTTGTGACCTGATGTTTTACAGGAGCAACACATCCAGTAGGCCAGACAGAGGAAGTTTGAAAGCATGGACACTACGTGCGACCAAAACCTGCAAACAGCACTGGGGACCAGAGACAAAAGGAATTCACACGACTGGATTCCACAGGTCGACTAGGGGACGGCAGGCAGAGTGCAAGCACAAGCATGGGCAACCAACTGGAACGTCGCCGAAGACAGCAGCAAGACACACGTGGACACCCGGAGTGGAAGCCACAACGACTCTTCTCTCGTGAAGTCCTTGGCTTTGCATAGGAATAGCTGCTATAGAAACCAGGAGCAGGGGGGATGAGCAGCCAAGATTTAGGATTTAAGGTCAGGAAAGGAGACACAGGACGGATTTTGGAATTGGAACCACAGGTTGGGGTCAGAGGAGCATGAGGTGCAGGGGTTATTCAAATGTTGTTGCTTCGTGCTCGGGTCCCATGGGTTCCCGTCAAACGCATAACACTGGGTAAAGCTCCCAGTTCCGGGCTTAATGTGGGGTACCTGCCTACTGCCGACCGTTTTCCAGAGGACCGGTAGGGCCGACCAGCCGGCGGTCTGCCGACCAGTCAGAAAACAGCCATCCACTAATTTTTTTTCAGATCTGAGTTGGAAGCTGTACTGCGCTTGCTGAGTACAGCCCAAATCCGCTGAGAAA